CTCTATATAATAAATCCAATCTAAACCTAAAAAGCCTAGGAATCATTTCATATTCCAATGATATAAAACACTACATAATAATACTAGGTTGTTGTTCAACTAATGCTAAACCTTTCAACTTACTTTCTTTTTTTTTAAGTATTCTTCTAATTTTCAAGTATTTCAACAAATGCTAACCTATTGAAATAATATCATCCAAAAATGGAATACAAGACTTTTTTCCTACCATATAGCACTAACAATTTTAACTTCTCAATATTAGCCGCAAAGTTGCATCCACGCGTAAATGCTTTGGTAGATTTAACTAAATTATATCATATCTAGAAACCACTTGGTCTTGGTTCCCTTGCATTAAAAATGTTATGTATTATAATTGATCCTTGTACTACAAGACACTTAATTACATTTTTTTTCCCTTCTTTATTCAAAATTTTCAAAGCATTTAAGCAAAAGACGCCTTTTAAAACTATCATCTAGAAATAGTATACACCGAGGTAACTCACTATTAGTGTCCTCAAAAAACATCTAAATAACCAATACATATATAGAATGTTTATCATTAATAAAATCCCAATGCAACTAAGAATTTTTTTTAGCACTCTACATCAATTTACAATGTTAGTCAATACTCCATCGTCCATATTATAAATATATTTTAATATTATCTTTGACACCCATTTTCTCCTTAGTGCAATCCAAATCAATTCTCACAGTACTCATCTATATGTTTTTTGGGTTAATAAAAACTATTTGAAGCTTATTTGTTAGTTTCTTGAGATTTTAAATGAAGTGTCTAAAAAAAAAATACATTCATGGTATATCTACTTGATATTAAACCAACTTGAATCTTCGGCGTAATTTAGTTTGTTTATATGGCATTACTCTCTTTCCTAACTCCTCTTATGACCCGTGGGTGGTTACCCTATAATGTTGTAATATATATTATAAATTCCATTATCAAAATGCACCTTCCCCTGCACATTTGGCATCCTAATGGCTTTTAAGATGCATCCAAAATATTAGTTCACGAAACTAGCACAACATCTCTCACAAATTGCCAAATCTCAAAAGAAATTTTATATGAACCAAAGCTTTAATGTTATACATCCTTTTAGAGCCAGTTAAAATTCAACATTTCAAAACCAATTTGTAGTATACTTTGTGATTTTGTTCGATGTGTTCTTCTGAAAAAAAATTACTCCCTCATAGATCTCATTTAAAATATTTATCTTTATCTAAAATCATATTATTATATTCATTTTCAATACATCTAACTCCATAAAGTTTTTTACATCTCCTATCATATTTATAAGTCTTCTTTGCACCTTTCTTGGTGCCTCCAGTCACATAAATCATTAAAGAAGTAAATTTTTAATTCCTTATAAACGACTAAATAAAACTCCTCACTTTTTTATAATTAATGTAGAATCGGTGGTATTTATTTCAACATTTTTAAAGGCCATGTTTCATTGCCTAAAGAACTATTGTTGATATTAAGATTCTTAATGTTATAAGTATTTGGCTCCCTAAGTAGGTTTGGATAAACATTTAGAGGAAAAATGCTAGAACAACCTAGAAGAATTAACACAAATTATACATCTTAAAAGTGGAATTTTATTGGGAAAATTTAAATGAACATGTTAATAGAGTGGTAGAAAATTTTTTATCTATGATGGTTATGATTTTGAAGTGGCTAATGAAGAAGATAAAGACATTGTATTTTACTTTAGCTTATAATTTTATTGGGCAATTTACATGCATAGCACCCAATTCTTATGCATTTACTTATCTCACACCCAAACTTTGATTTTTACACCCTAAGCACCCTAATCTACATATGAAAAGGTGGATTACTCTATTTTCATCTTTTCCTACATAGGAAAAGGTGTTTTACGTGTAAAAATCAAGGTGTAGGTGTGAGATAAGTAAATGCATAAGAATTGGGTCCTATGTATGTAAGTTCCCCAATTTTATTAATGTTTATATTTTATTTTAAAAAAAAAGAATAACATATTATCACTTATAAGAATGAATCTAATAAAACAAAAACTAATTATTTTCTTATAAAAATGGATCATCGAGATTATTTAAGTTTTAAGGTTATTGCAAGTGAAATTTTCGGTACACAACATCGATTATTAGTTTTAAATTTTAAGATTAATGATTAAAAATGAAAAATACAATGAAATATTAAAAATAGATAGGGACATTTAAAAGACATAAATAAAATTATTTAATATGTAAAATTCAAGATCTTGAGATGTATAATATTAATGAAGAAACTAATATTATATGGGATAAAGTAATGAGTACTAAAAATGAGTTGCAAAAGATGTGCTCAAAGTATAAAAAAAAACTTATTAATAAAAACAATGAGTATTGGAATGATAATGTGCATGAAAGATAAAAAAAATAAAAAATTTTATTATAAAAATATTTTTAGATGTAAGAATTTGGAGAATTGAAGAAAATATAAGGTGACTTGTAGAGTGCCTAAGAAAATAATTCATGATATTAAGAATTCTATTTTTAATGATTTTTACAATATATTATATATTAAATATGATGAAAGATATATAAACTAGTCAAGAAAAGAGATAAAAAGGTAAATTTTTAATTCAAGTAAAGTGTATTAAGAATAAAAATCAAAAAGTATTTTTCTTATATGAGGATATTCAACATAAATGGGCGAAATATTCTAATAAATACTTTAATGAATTTGTGAAAATATGATCGACTTTAGCAATATTAATATCATAAATAATAACAAAATTTTTATCTCTATCATCGTATTAGTAAAATGGAAGTTGATGAGACTTTAAAGAAAATAAAGAGTGGAAAAGTGGTAGGATCTGATAGTATTCTAATATAAGTGTGAAAATATTTATGAGATTTGAGAATTTTTTTACTCACTAAATTTTTAAATATTAATTTTAAAACCAAAAAGATGTCCGATGAATGAAGGAAAAGTGTGCAAATTATAAATGAAGTTAATGTGTCATATAATTAAGTTATAGAAGAGAATAATTGAACGTAGGTTACAAAGAGATACAAAAATTTCATAAAATCAGTTTGTATTCATTTCTGACAAGTCTACCATATAAGTTATACATTTATCGAGATGTTTGATGAAAAAATACGGAGAGAATAAGGAGGATCTACAAATGATTTTTGTTGATTTAGGGGAAAAACTATGATAAGGTTCCAAGAGAAGTGCTTCAAAGAGTTCTAGAAAATAAAAGTGACAATATTGCTTGAATTTAAGTCGTTAAAGATATGTATATGAGAGTTATTGCTTGTGTTCGAACACAAGAATAATTGAAAAAATATTTTCCTATTTCAGTTGGATTACAACATGGATTGGCTTTAAACTCGTATATGTTTTTTTTTTTAGTTAAGGATGTTATTATTGGACAACTATAGGACGATATACGTTAATTTATGTTTTTTGTTGATAATATTTTGCTTGTGGATGAGACTATAGAGAGATTAAGAAAATTTTCAAATATGAAGGTTAACTTTAGAGTCTAAATACTTTCATTTGAATAGATTTAAAACCGAATGCATGAAATATAATTTTAGTTTTAGTAAACCTAAACCTGAATACCTACAATTTAATTTTAGTAGTAGCAGATTTAGTGGAGGGTTGTAATAATGGGTGAACAAGTCATTAAAAGAAGTAAACCTTTTAGATATCTCGAATTTATTGTTCAAAATGATAGTGATATTGATGGGTGTGTTATTAGACGAATTCAAGTTGGATGGTTGAGGTGGAGGAATGCATCGGGCCTTTTGTGTGATATAAAAATACCTTAGACTTCAATAAAATTTTTCTAAGATGGTGGTGAGATATGGTACAAAATGTTGGCATGCAGAAGAGAAGAATATTATTAAGTTCAGTGTTGTTGAGATGAGAATGCTCAAGTGGACAAGTGGCTTTACACTTAGAGACAAAATGTGAAATAAATATATATGTGAAAGGGTTTGAGTAACTCCAATGGTAGACAAGATTGGGGAGAGTAACCTTATAAGCCTTGGCACATTAAACATCGACCATCTGATGACCTAGTTAGGAGAGTAGATGTTTAAGATTTGAATTATGTTAAAAAAAAGGTAGAGGTTGACCTAGAAAGACTTTGGCATGTTGTATAAAAATGATCTCAATTTATTAAACAAAAATATAGCACTCAATGGCACACAATCGAGAAAGAGGGTTCATGTAGCCACCCCCACTAAGTGGGATAAAAACTTGTTGTTGTTGTTGTTGGTATTTCATTGCCTTAACAATTATTTGCACTTATTCTCTCCATCACCAAGTCATATGGAATGTACAATATATTCAAAACATCGCATGACTCAATGCAATCAAGCATCTTAACTCGAAGATGAAAAAATATAGTATTTTTTCTTCGACTTAACTAAACTTCCATAACCAACCAAATAGCTGGAAATTGCCCTTTAAATGCTTAACGACTTGGATTTTTGCTAAAAAATAGCAAATATGCACATAAATTTCAACATTATATATTTTACTAAGCAAAAAAAAACTAGTTAGACAAAATCATTGAGCCTATAAGACAGCAAAATCAACTTTTAAAATACAATATGATATGCATCATAGTTCAAAACAAAGAAAATGCATTTATAATAGAGCGCCGAGATGCCAGAGAAGTTTCACCTAAAATCCCACTCATTCAAAACCTTTTTTCTTATGGAATACCTTCTAAGATAACCATAAGTGATACCTACCTATCAGAATTATGTCATCTCACATCAAATACTCAAATACAATTTTCAATCTACTGCACATCCAGGTTAAATCAATAAAAATGAATGAATGAATTCGGTCTCTGGCCTAAAAAGGAAAAAATTGAAACATTAATTCCGGAGCTAGGGTTTCTGATCCATGAGGCCGAGACCCAGCTAACAGATAGAGGAGTTTTCTGATAATAAGAAATCATTGGTAAAGTGAAATTGGGAAAACGCTATGTCGTTCTAACCTAACAACTTCGTTGTCTCTCTCGACTTCACTGACCTCGGCGAAGAAGCTCTTAAGCAACTGTTCCTCATCCAGCTCGGTAGCCATCGCATGCCAAGAGCGAACCCCTTGGCAGATTTGCATATGAACGAAATTCTGATGTATTTATATTTATCGATGTTTCGATACTAAATTTTAAATGTATTTACATTCGTCAAATCATAGTAAATTATTATTGATGTTAATTTTTATGTACGCGTTATGATATAATGACGTATTTATTCAATATAATTGAATGTAAAAATTATAAGAAGTATTGACATAAATACCACTAAACTCCTACAAATTTATATCTTTATTATGAAATGTAAATATAAGAGATTTGAGTGCTATAAATATTATAAAAATAAAATTTAGGTGTTGCCTACATGAAAACATTGGAATTAGATGATGTATTCGTAGTACTCCAAAATTAAATAATGAGGGCAATACACTATAAGAAAAGTATGTGGGAAATGAGAGAGAGGGATTGAGAGAGAAATAGTACATATGTTGTCTTATTCATAAAATTAATTTTATATTTATAGAAATGAGAGTACAATATAGTGATATTAACTTTTTTCGTTGTTTTAATGGGAGTTATAAAGAGTATTCTATATATTTTACAAATAAGAGCATATCACTCAGCTGCTCAAATAAATTTTATATTTATAGACGTGAGAGTAAAATATGGTGATATTACCTTTTTTTCATTGCTTTAATGGGGTTTGTAAAGAGAACTTTAGGTATTTTATAAATATGAGCATATCACTCAGCTACTCTTTGACTCGGTAAGATGATCATGTTTGACTTCATCTTAGTAAAACCAATATAGTCGACGAGGCTATGACGGATTTTTCAATCGGATGAACTTGATTTGTTTCGGACTGGCAAAACTGATTCAATTGACTTCTCTATGTTAATTGGTTTATTTGATATGGTTGTCGACCCTCGAGCCCTGGTGAGGAGCTTTTATCGATAGAGCAACGCTATACTACCAAGCTGAGGATCAATCCTCAGGACCCGAAATGTAGCTCACTCCTTAACGAGAAAATTTTGAGTAATGTCTGTAAAACTCTTTACTGCATTTGTTAAAAGGTAGGTTGTTGCTTGCGCTCAGTGTTTCTCATACTTACTTTGACTCTGACTAGTGTCTCTGATCTAATAAGTAGTCATCCTGATTCTTTGTCAGTGAGCTATCATTTTTCATATTTTCTTCCTTTTATACCATTAGATCTCTAGCACTGACACTTTTTTGATGTACAACCGCAATATTAGAATGCATACTTTCAAATGTTGTCATTTCATTGAACCATTATTTGATTAAAAATTTTATTGTGACATTGTTAATAAAAAATATGAATTTTAAAAAAATTTATTATTTTGTAATGTCATAAAGTGCATATATTATGAGTTTATGGAGTACTTAAAATTCACCGCTATTTTGTTTTTGCGTGTAAATTGATTCCTATCAAATCAACCAAAAAAAGAGAAATACAGTGTGCTGCCTTCGCTCACTCTCATGAAATTCCTTTGTCTCCAACATGCTCCCACGAAATCCCATGGTGCTCGTGAACGGTTTGTATCAACAAGCTTTCGAATAAAAGTTTTCACTTTTTAGAACAAATTTACTAGGTTATTTTGTGGAGGCAGAGATTTCGAGAGTGGACTCGCTGCTCTTAATATCCCTTTCCCATCGATTTTGGATGTCAGTGGCTCCTGCTCCAAGTTGGTGAGCACTCGAATGTAACGACTCTGAGATTGTTTCAAATTCCCGCAAATTGTGACAATCCCCCCATCACCAGAGAATTTACTGGTACATGATACGTGGAGGTTACCACTCAGCAGCTGTTTAGTATGGGACAACCAAATATCACATTATACGTTGGTGGGATTCTACAAAAAAAAAAAGTCATTTGTAGTGGTAAACTATTTATCTCCTTTGCCTCCAGAGAAACCTGGACCGATAATACCAATAACTTTTTCCTTTCTGTAGAAAATCTGAACGTGGGTTGGTCAGCACAGTCAAACAACGAATTGGAACTTTCCTTAAGTAGGATCTACCAAAAGATAGGTTGTTGCCTACGGTCAACATTGCCCGTGCTTGCTTTGGCTCAGACTAGCATCTCTAATCAGATAAGTAGGCTTCCTTGTCTTATGTCGGTGAGCCATCCTTGGTTGTATTTTCTTCTTTCTATACCATTAGATCTCTAATTTTGACACTTTCTCGATGTACAATAACACTATTGTATCGCATAACTTTCAAATATTGCCATTTCATTAAGCAGTTATTTGATTAATATTTTTAGTGCGGTGTTGTTAATAAAAAAATATAAATTTTAAAAAGTTTTATTATTTATAATCTCTTAAAGTGGATATATCATAAGTTTATAGCGTACTTAAAATTCACCGCTATTCTGTTTTTTCATGTAAATTGATTCCTCTCAAATCGACTAGCCCTTTCGCTTACTCCCAAGAAATTCGTTCATCCCCCCAATCTCCCATGAAATACCACGGTGCTCACGGAGGGTTTTTATCAACAAGCCTTGGCATCAAAGTTTTGACTTGTTAGAAAAAAATTTCTCAAGCTATTCAGCAGAGGTAGGAATTTCGAGGGTGGACTCGCTAGTCTCGAGACCTTCTGATCTCTTTACTGTTCATATGTGACAGTATAATAATGTCTTTGATGATATTTTTCACTTATGTTTCCTTACTTTGCAACATAACTAAAAACTTGATCCTGGAAAAAGTAATAATTTAACTCTTTAATATATATATATATATATATATA